GCTACAGTATACCTACGTATTAATTTAAAGAGCTTATTCATAAAAACTATTCTAAATGGTTTATATACACAATCAAAAGTCCTTCAACCACTGTACATTATTTTTCAATTTAAATGAAGCATCTCGGGTAAGTAAATTATTTTATATTAGAATACTATATTGCTTTGGCGTAAATTCACTTTTTAAATAGCACTGTTCAAATGGTGGTTAATACATATCAACAAGTAATTTTAGCCACCAGCTAGTAGGTAAATTCATTTTTATTTTATAACAAGGTCTCCTAGGTTATGTTACGCAGATGTTGATTTTAGGCTATATTCTCTTAATTTGAATTTGAAAATTAATCTGTTATAATTTGAATGTTTTTCTTAACATCTATCCATATTTTTTAAAATAAATAGTTATACCATTAACATACATTAGGACCTTTAAAAAGAAAATACTGGGTTTCTTTCACCCGGTTCTTTAATTGCCTTTTTTTCCACTGAAAGTCCCATTTATACAGCCAGGTATGAATAGCAAGATCTATTATATTTTTTTTATCACACTCATTGTTACATTGCTAATAGTTCAATAAAATAACTATAAATTTTAAAGAAAACTAGTAAAAACACAGTTAAATCGTATTCTAACAATGCAAATGATCAATCTAACCCGCTTACAGTGCCTCTGGTGTCAAACCGAGAAACTTGCTTTAAAGTAGGGACAGAAATTTCAAATCAGGGCCATGTAAGTGAAATATTAAAAATGGTTCCAGCAAAAGTTTCCCAATTATGACGGATGATGGCGCTGATCGTCAAATTTTTTGACAGGGATTTTGCTTACCGACAATACGACGTGAGCTACGACCGGACCAGGACCAATCAGAATGATCAGTCTTTCTTGGACATTTACCGCGGACGTGTGTGTTAATTTCTGTTGTGATAAGTGTGGTTGTGTTTGCAGTTTGATTTTTCGGTTTTGATATTATGTTAAAATTAATTTTGAAGTATTGTATCACCTTTTTTTATGTAATAGTTCTTTGTTAATGTTTGTTTAACAATTTTTTACCAAAGAGGTTATACTTAATATACTTATCAATTACTAATAGCCTAATTTTTATCAATAAACTTTGTAAATTTTCAGATTATTTAATTCCTTGCAAATATGTTTATAATTTTATTTTTAAGACATATTATGTGATTGTTTCACATAATATGTTTTAAAACAAAAATAACAAATAGCAAATAAAAATAATTAAAATAAAAAAGTGTATTTTCCGGCCCCCACGAACCCGGTCACCGCTTGGCTAACCTATAATGTCAGCTATGTCGAGAGATGGCGTTACGAAAATGGAATGACGGTATATAAACCAAAAAAACAGGTTTATAACAATATCTTGACGATTTGAACTGCGCGCGGAGCGTGCTGACCAATAGCGCCTGTTATAAAATTGCAAATAGCAAATAAAAATAATTAAAATAAAAAAGTGTATTTTACAATTCCCCACGGCCCCGCACCCCTTTGGCTAACCTATAATGTCAGCTATGTCGAGAGATGGCGTTACGAAAATGGAACCGGTTTATTACAAGGAACTTGGGCTTCTTTTTCGTTAGTATATTCTGTGTTTCAAATATGCCCATTGTCGATTCGCCTCCTCCTTCTAGCCTCCATACCTTTTACCAATGCACCATTCGAATGACGTGATTATTTTAAATTAACCAGGAATGTCACCTAGAAAGAATGGCATATAACTCTTTAAAGAAAAAAAAAAGTCTTTCATCCACGCATATATCTCTCAATTACGACCGTGAAATAAAAAGAACTTAACCTATATAACGTACCCGACTTGAGTACCATTAATTTACTAGAAAACCTACATACTGTCGCGGAGCATAAATTCTGCCAAGCTGGGACGGTATTATAGTGCAGATTTGACCTCCATAGAGCGGGAATTTCTCTATTAAATCGTATTCTAAGATGTCGTAATGGCACGATTACCATCTATCTCGTGACGCTTTCGGTTCATGCACTGAAATAGAACCCAAGACAATTTGCAAAATTGTCTTGGGACGTGACATGGCGATTAACTAACATAAGTTGATACTTATGTTAGTTATATTTTCAGTTATACTTATACTTAGTTAATTAAAAAATAATGGACGCTGATGCGTCCATTATTTTTTAATTTAATTATTTAATTATTTAAAAATTTAATTTAATTAAAAATAATGAGTTTAAGACAGAACATAAATAAAAATTAAAAGTTTAGTTTGACTTATAAAAATTCTCCATGTTTCTCTATGCTAGATGTTATTGTAAAATTTGAAACAATCCTTTGTGAACATATCAAAGAAAAAATTGGCTGCTACTAGCTGCAACTTTTTTTTTAAATATTCTTTTTTCTCCGATGTATCGATTGAAAAAAATAGATATTTTGGAAAAATGGCTACAAGGGGCCGATAAAGTTGAGAAAAACGGGTATGTTTCAAATTTTGTAAGACAGAAATTTCACAATAATGAACAAGGACTATCAGGTACAATGGAAAAAAGATAAATCGCCTTTGTATAAATTTTGAAAGAAGATGGCAGGCGGCTTCGCGGCTTAAAGATTTATTTTTAAAACAAAATGAAGACTGGTTAAAGGAGGATTTTATCCTTGAGTTAAATGAACCCCTTCCATCCACATCATCTGCCGGCCGCCCACGATTACCTTTTTCGGAGCAATCTTCCAGAACCCAGAGAAGAACGGCCTCAAAAAAAATATTGATCGATTGTATTCAAAAGGGAGTATAGTTCATAAAATATTTTTTTTTGTATACAGTCATCTTCGGCTTTTTAAAAAAATACCGTCCTTAAAAGTAACTTTTCAACATCAACTATGCCCGTTTTTTTTTTGTTTTGCTAAAAAAACGCATAAGGAAACAAAAAAATGGAGTCCATAGTGCACCATACACGTGGGTCCTTTTCTGCAAGGAAGTCTGTGAATATCGTCGTTGTTGACAAAGACATAAAAAAAGAAAAAAGTTTAATATAAATGTTGTATGATTTAAAATGGTGCACATCGAAAAAATATTTTGTTATATACCTACAGGGTATCCCAAAAAAAGTAATGATGAAGTGGGGTCAATATACAATTCGGCATATAGTACACTATTTTTATTTAAAGGAATATCCTGTGTTGCTATGCTATTTCTTATCTACTAAAATTTTGATTAAAAAAACAGCATTATCTGAAAAGTGGTAAAAACCCGAAGTGATAAGGATAACAGAATAAATCCGTGAAGGAAAACTCACATTATCTTGATACGTTTGGACTGAACAGGTAAGATTGACAGGCAAAACGTTTCGTGTAGACGGGACTTTAGAGATACATCCTATATAAAATGATTTTGCAAATACTTTATCATTGAACACAGTACTTAAATATTAACAACAATCTTATTTATTATAAAAACTAAATCAGACCTAATTAGATATCATCGAATAGGAAAAATATAAATAAAAAATTAGAATTTTTAATTAATATATTCCCTGTTCCTGTTTTAATGAATATATTCCGTATTAAAGTATTATTTAGTACCCTTTCACAACTCATAACTTACTTCACTACCTTAAGCTTTAGCTTTAAGGTCAATTAAAGCCAGGAATTACTGCAGGTATTAATTACTGCCATCTTATTAGAAAACGGAATAAATTCTTGTAATTAACAAAGGACACTTAGACGAGGTATTAATTTTCAGGGCACATTCTTAATTACTTCCTAATCTCTTTAATAATTTGTTGAATTTATCGATGTTATTAATGCTCACAGGTGTGTTCCACATCGGTTATAATACTTAAGAACATTGTTCGAATATTAAATCATCTGCTAATTTTAGTTTGGAGTAGTTCAAGTTAGTTTCAGTGTAGGCAACACGACAGTTTTGTTGTAAAACAGAATAATTTCGTCAGTTCTCTTGACAGTCTTCCATCTTAAAGGTGCATCGGAGGATGCATCCGTCATGCATCCTCCGTGGATTCATCCTACCTGTTAAGTTATTATCTGTCATTTTTGAGATAAACCAATAAAATGCCATAAAATCAACGACAAACGATGCAAGGTGGATACATATAACCCGCGCTAATTCAGTTCAAGTAAAATGGACTGTTTTTTCGTCTACGCACAAGGTTTTATTTAATACGTTTTGACTGAACGTTTAACACTGACAGGTAAATCATTATGTGTAGGTGGAGCTTTAGGGTTAAATAATGTTTTTGATTTTATAATGGCATTTTCGTATTTATCAATTACATGTTAAAAATAATTAAGATATGTTAATTTTGTTATTTTTTTCTTAGTTGTTCCAGGTAGCATATTTTATATTAACAATAAGTATATACAGTTTGTTGATAATCTGTATCCTTCCTTAGTCCTTTGCAGAACGATCGGAACAAATAAATTATAGGTCACTTGACGTCATTTCTTTTTTGATCATAAGATATAGATATGTATACGCTCGTGTATATGTATACAGAGTAAATATAAAGTAAAATAAAAAATAAAATAATCCTATTTAGAGTTAACGATGGCTTTAACAATTTATACTTTGAAATCGTATCTGCCCTATACTCTGTTCCGTCATTTTGATTCATTAAGTCCCAACTGACGGACGGTTACGCACTGGTAGTTCCAACTAGCAAGAAACCGCTTTATTCCCGCAGGAGATTTTTTGAAAGTACCGCGGAAGTACGCGCAAAAAAGCCTTTATAAATCCATCGACGTACTTAGTACAGCGTATGCAAAACAAGAGCTCCACTAATAGGACAGAACGCAGACAGCTAGTTACTTAAAAAGAATATACAGGGTGGCAACTTAAAAATTAATAATGAGTAATATATTTTATATAAAAAATACTATAAGTAAGGTCTGAAACAGAGAGGAACAATTGTTCTTCTCTGGTCTGAAATACATATTGGGGACTGGAGACTCAACCAAAATGATTACAGTAATCAGGAGGTACTGCTATGTATGTACTTACCCATAACGCCTAATTGTTGTGGGGTAAGTTGTATGTTATCTCCACCACCCCCATCTACAGCTGCAATAGTTAAAGACCCGCTGGCCAAGCTACCCGAAATAATTGAAGTTGTCTTTTCACTAGCGATTGTGGATCCCTGTCTTATATACCGTTCACTATAAGCTGCACTATATGCTGCACTACGTCTACCACTACTAGCGATGCTCCCTATATCTGTAATATAATAAAAAATATATTTTAATGTTAAATTCTTAAACGCAAATTTACTTTTAAATTCCCTCCTTCACAAAAATGGTGTAAAACCATAGGCAACTTACATTACACAGTGATCAATTTTTGTGGAAAAAATTAAAATATTTACTGGCACAAATAATGTCTTTTTCAAATAATTACACTAAATTATTAATTTGAAATATAGAAGCTACAAATCAATAGAACATTTTGAAAGGTTCTTTACCTATACTTCATTAATTGTTTTCCTTATTTATAAGAAAACATTATTAACTGTTTTTAATTATGTAATAAAATACTATTATTAATAAATAATAATTTAGGAGAACATAGCTCAATACAAACACTATTCTGTATTTTAAGACAACAATACATACCATTAGGACTTCGAATTCCAGATGCCCTAGATCGTTTGCTACTAAAATTGTTTCGTTTAAACTTTGTGGGGTCGTAGGGGCGTTTCTTACGCCGTAGAAACCTCGATAACACTCCAACCACCGCTATGCTAGCTCCAACGGTTAAAATAACTATCTAAAATTAATAAAAACAAACTTTACATCTGGGTGTATCGAAGACATTTATTTCACTCAGAATTACCTTCTGGCTTGTTGTCAACGATATCCTGGTTGGTAGGACCTCACGAATAATTCTCAAGTGATCCTTAACGTACCCCAAATGTGGTATTAAAGACATTTTTAAGTAATTTTCTTAGTTTTTAACACTTTTATAGGTTATAAACACTAAAACTTTATTTCCTATTGAACTAAACTTTGAATCAAAGTCATTTTAAGGTCTGCCGATCACATTTTTTAGCTAGCATTTTTTATGTATCCGTGTTTAATTCAAAAACTTGAAATTATTTTAAAAATTGATTTTAAATTACGAACAAAATCAAAACTCCCGGTCGAATAGAAAGACGGCGGTAAACTAGATAACTATTTAACCAACTGGGTAGATGTCAAAAGACCTTGGTTTAATTTTCTTCTTTACAGAATCGTCGTTCTTTACCAAACTTTGGACAACCCTGTTGTTTTACAAATCGTAAAAAGGAAAAGAAGATTTTGACATTTGGCTTTCATTCAAAAAATTTGTTCTAAAAAAAACAACAACAAATCTGAAAACTTCTATAAATTCCATGTATTTTGAGTTTGAGTATTTCCTCTCAGATAAGTGCGTTATATACATTCTTGGTGAGTCATGGAGGTGGAAGAGGACATCATACAAAGTCGGGAAGACTTATCCATAGACAGTTTACCAGAGGAACTTCTTGAATTCATTTTATCATTAATTCCTCCATACAAGGATTTACACAATTGCATGTTAGTTTCAAAGAAATGGAGAAGATGCGTTTTAAGTGAGTTTCTTTATAAAAGTTTTCCTTAAATAACTTAAAGGGTTTTAAATATTTATATTTTAGATGTTGTCAGGACGCGAAAACGTAACTTTCAGAAAGCCATCGACCAAGTTTATATAAAATGGGACCACCTGGTTCCATCAGGTTCAGCTTCGATAATAACAAAGAGGTTCTCTCACGCTGCCGTAATTTGTGATAACTCTATGTATGTATTTGGGGGGTGCACAAGTGCAATGACCACATTCAATGATCTCTGGATGCTCAATTTGTCAAATAGAAAATGGGAAAGACCTTATGCTATGGGTACTTATCCTGCACCAAAAGCTTGTAGTTCGTTGGTTGTATATACAGATTTATTAGGTATGTATATTTGTAATAAATTTTTATTGAAGTTTGACATTAAAAGAGTATAAAATTGTATTCGCAAAATATACAAAGGGTAATAATTTTGGAAGATTCATTGTTTGAACACTCTTGTATAAAACATCTTAATTTAGAGCTTATAATATATCTAAGACCATTAACCTTGAGTTTAATCCCATTTATTTATGGTATTTACAAATATTTCTATTTTTAGGTGACACCTACATGTCTTTGTGTATTGGTGTGATTTTATTTTAATTCCACTCATATTTATTTCCCTGTATTTTATTTTTTTAACCTTGATTCTAAGCTATATGATATTCATTGATATTTGTGTTGTTTTTAGTATTATTTGGGGGTTGGACTTATCCTCCATCCTATCCATTGTACCAAAGTTGGCATTTATATAACGAACTTCATGTGTACGATACGTTAGCGAATCGTTGGACATGTATCAGTACCTTAAATACCCCTCCCCCTATGGCAGGACATTCTGCATCGGTCATAGGGGAGTGGATGATTATATTTGGAGGCCTACAAAAACCAGGCACCGCTGTCCATTGTGAAAAGTCAAATGATATTTGGAAGTTGAATTTGGAAACTTGGACTTGGTATAAACAAGGAGTTCACTGTAATATATTTGTTTTTTTGTCAATTAAAAAAGGAAAATCTACATTTATTTGTTTTTTAGTTGGTCCAAAGCCTAGCGGTAGATTTGGCCAGACTCAGGTGGTGCTAGACGATAAGAATTTGTTGATTCTCGGTGGTTCCGGGGGGCCAAATACGCAGCATTGTGACTGTTGGGTTTTGAATATGGAGGGTAGCCTGTGGAGGTGGATTAAGGTGGATATTGATGGAAAAATTAATGAGCCTACGAATATATGGAGTAATCCTGGATGTAAAGTAAGTTTGCTGTGTTGTGGATGAATTTTTTTCAGCTCAGAGAAATAAGTAAAAATTGAGTTCTAAAATATTTGTTGATACAGGTGATTTTCGATTACATCTTGACATTTTTTTTTCATTTAATGTACTGAAATACATACAGGGTGAGACTTAAATTAGTGGAAATATTTTTGAGGCTGGTAGATCTTAATAAAACAAACATATTTTCCCTTTACTGATTTTCTAAAATGATTGGTTAGGTATGGTTAGGTAATTTTTTGATTAGGGCGTCTCTATGTCCTTTATACTTATTTCTGTAATATTCAGATTCTAGGTACATGAAAGTTGTAATGTTTCTTTCAGATAGGGGACAAGATAGTTGTTCTAAATAGAATAAAACAAAATGAAGACACACCGATAGTGTATTATCCCAGGAGCCACTGGAACCAAACTCTTCCCGAAGACGGAAGATTGTCAAGAATAGACTTGGCAAACAGGAGACTGGGTATAATCAAATTTCATATACAGGCGGTTCATTATTTTCTAAAATTATACTTACATTTTATAGATAAAGATGAAAACGTAAACGGAAGAAGGGGATTTTTAAAGAAATTGTTTAAGAACAAAAAAGAAGTTGAAGATGACGAAGAGGAAGATCCAGGTCCATCAGGCATGGTAGAAGTGAGAAGGGTAAGTTTTAAAATATTAGTACAGGGTGTGTCAGAAAATTTGCAACAAATAGATTTTTTTATTGTTGAATTGATGGAAAAAAATTGGCGCCGGGAAGTAAAGGAATTTTTCCAATTTTTTTCTATCTCAAAAACTGCGACTGACTGATTTTGATGTTTTGTAGATTGTACCACTTAGAACCATACGTATGACTAAGATGCATATTTTTCGAAAGAAAGTCAATTTTCCTTAAAACAAAAAAAAAATAAAAACCGATCAAATTGTTTTTTCTAATTTCAATACAGATTAGTCGCACTTTTTCGATTTTTTAAAACTCGTAAATTTGCGGAAAAAAAGATTCTTAACGAAATTTTCACTCTCTTATAAAACACCCTATATACGAGAATTCGCTAAATATATTTTCGAAAACCACATAGCATCTTAATCACAATAGATGCATCTAAAACCTGGTCCAAACCGCATCCCAAAATCTTTTATAGTTCAAGAGATATTCAACTTTAAATTTACCCTAAAATTTTCCTTGTCCCGATAATTATGTCCGGCAGTTTATTTGACGAAATTGTCCACCAGTAACGGGTTCCGAGCGTCGACTCATCGGCCCGGAACGAAGGGGTTTGACCTTGATCGAGATCGATTCGGTTACCCAGTAGTAATGTGTCAATCCCGCGGAATCTCAGAGGGATCCCGCATTTGCGGGATTGCATTCCCTAATTGCAGGTCTTTGGACCCCATTATAAAAAGACTAAAAAAATAATTTAGTTCAAAACAGTCAATAACCTCCAATTACAGTTTATAACACTGACGATGCATTTTTGAACACCCTCTATACCATTTCATTTAGAAATATACTTTAGTTTGAAAATATCCTTGAATCAACCTGTATATTGATAAAAAAATATGCCCTCTATTTGCCCGGTTGTTTTATAAAAAATATTAGTTATTATAGTGAAGAATATGAAGATATAGAACGCCTGTTCACCCTGTATAAATCTATTTTCAGATTCAGTGTACCGACTATTTGAATATGGCAGCTTTCACCCAACCCTCCTCCTCCTCAGTGCAGCACAAAAACATGCTCAGAGAGAAAAGACTGGATCGACTTCAGAAAGTCGAAGAAAAACTCTCCATGAAGCACTCAAACGTTCTGGCCAAGCAGAAAGAAAAAAAGACTCACCGTTTAGGTATTTATCTGTTGGATATTTCGCAAGTGTTGGGTAAAAAATCGAAAGCCACGTGGTTAAGCCCGAAAAACTTGAATTCCGGCCCCGAAGAAACGATACTCTATACTTTGGTAGAGGGCAAGTCTGAACTGGTCATGTTCGGAGGTGTTCTAAAGGACGCGAATACGTCGCTAACGTGTAGCTTAAGTAATCAAATTTGTAATTCGTTGCACTTTATAAGTTCGCCAAATTACGTTGTTTGATAGGTAATTGGTAGAGAGGACCTTGAAATATATCCCACCGTTTTGTTTATATTTTTTATAGTATTTGCAATGTTTTGTTTATAGTGTTTAAGAAAAGAAACCTATGTTCCTTTGTGATTAAATTAGTGGGTAAGTTTGAAAATCCACACACACTTTTTTAAATATACGTTTTATTTAAGGGATGTTTTGTTTTATTAAGTTTTGTACGATATCAGAAGTTGGATCAACTTATATCATTGTATCTTTTTTAGAATATACTAGGCATATTGCAATTAGAAACTATATGTGAGCTACTTTATATTTATTTGAGTTTCATGTAAAAATTTATTCTTCATTACAGATTTATGTTTAAAAAAAAATAACTTAAAAACATATTTACTTTAAAAACATATATTTTTAAAATATATTATACATTGTTAAATATAAATAATATTTATCTTAAACTAAGCAAAATGTATTCCTTGACTGTTAAATGCATTGAGAAGCCTAAAAAATAAATAAGTAAATATTTAGCTAAAGCATAAAAATTGAAAACTTACATCATAAAATCATCTAGGTCCATAGTCCTGGGTCTTTTGTCAATGAACTTTGATTCAGTCAGTATTTTTTCAACTTTGCTTTTAATATTAAAATCTTCAGGTATATCATCAGAGCGTAACTTTCTTTTCTGGATAGACATACAAAAAATAAATTACATTTTATTGCTTAAAAATGTATAAACATAAATATAATCTAACATTTAAAGTAGGAAATAACAAACTATTGTTATAACTAATACTGTATGATCAAAAAAAAAATAATAATACTTATTTATAATTAATATTAAATTATAATTAACTTCAACTTTATTCAAATAATAATAATACTTACCGTATTATCCAAACTACAGTATAATCTATAATTTTTCTCTAGTGTGGCTAGCACAGAGGTCTGTTTGAACGAACTACCTAAAGTTTTATTTTTTCGAATAAAAGCTATTCTGGTTAAACCATCCCATTCCGAATACTGAATTGGTAGAGGTGGATTTCTGGGTTCTATCCTAACAACTGATGACTCTACCTTAGGAGGAGGTCTAAAATTGTTTTTACCTACCTGTAAAAAAAAATTATCTGTACAGCTTTTAGCAATAAATGAAAAATCTGACTTACTTTCATTATCATATCTACTCTTGCTAAAAGCTGTGTATTCACTGATAACCTACAGTATAATTTGTCCCCAGGTTTGGCTACCAGTCTCTGCGCAAACTCTCTCTGAAACATTAATACTGCACATCGAAAAAACGGTCTGTGCAAAAGCAATTTGAAAACTAAGGGAGACGAAATTTGATAAGGGATATTCGCCACACAAACATTAAAAAAAGGCAGCTCTGTTTTTAAGACATCTCCAACTAGGATTTGTAGTTTGGACTGTAAATGTGTGCCTTGTACTCTTTTCTGTAATTCAGCTACTAATCGGGTATCAATTTCACACGCCACAACTTTCTTAACTTGTTCAAGAAGTTTCACCGTCATGTTACCAGTACCTGGACCTATTTCTAGAACGGTATCTGTGGGTCTCAATGCTGATTTTTCAACCATAGCCGTTATAATCATGGGGTTTTTGAGAATGTGTTGCCCAAAGTCCTTATTGAACATAATACCTTAAATTTAATTCGATATTATCTTAAGTATAAATTGATTTTTATAATGTTTACCTTGTTTAGATACTTCATTGTGTATTCGACTCTTTTTTTCAGACTTAACTTTAGGCATGTTTATAAAATATTACTTATTTTAAATAAAATTTAGAAAACACTCCGTTCACGTTTGTTATGGTTAAAAAAGTGAGGTTAAAATTGTAATACCGAGTCTATCGAGTACAGATTACTTTCCTTTATATGATGAGTTGAATTTCAGTAAGTGTTGTATAGAGGGCTCTGACTGTAAAAAAAAGATTTCTTTTCGAGAATATAAAAGTGTTTGGAATATTTTACAGAGATGGCGCGGAAGTTAAAAAATTAAAGTTTTCTGCGATAGTTTAGTATAGTGTCCAACTCATAGAGGGCGCTGTCTAATTTAATTTGCGTTAGGCAACTCTATATTCATTTTCAATATATTTAAAATATTCATTGAAAATATTAAAATTATGATATTTTGATAACCAGTGCGCTTAAAAAATATATCAGAAAACTGTAGAAAATAGTATTTTATTATTTTATATATTGGTAATTATCCTGCAGTGGTACTTATTGAATTTGTTGGTGGTATGAACAAAATAAAACTCTTTGTAAAAATGTTAATATAATATATTGACCATTTATGTACATTGCATTTTATGTCTAAATTTAAATATTATCATTACATATTTCAACGATAAATTGCTTATCTAATCGCTAGGAATACGGTTTCTTTGTACAAAACATCTCTAAAATATCTATAGAAAACTACTTTTGATTTTCTGTATAAAATTCTACCTTGTATACATAAATATTTTTGACCATCCATTCATACAGCTTTTACAGCAACGCTACTAGTTTACATGTGCCTATTAACAAGTGTATGAATAAACATATTTTTTCATAATTTTAAATTATATTCTTCAATTTTACTTCTGGTTTTTTGGCTAAACTAAATCAATAATTGCACGAAAAGTTCTTATTTTTTTGTCAGAAAGACATCAACATTTTTTTATTAACAACCAATATTTTTAAATAACTACAATAATTTTGTTTTTAAGAAATGAGATTACCAATGGTCCTTTTTACATAAATAGGGTAAAAGTACATACTTTTTTAATTTATGGATAATCTGGCAAGCTTGGGTATAGTCGAAATATTTTCATAGAAGAACACCAAATAATATTCAAAAATTTGCATCAGACTGGCCACTTGAATACATTTGGCTTATTTTTCTTATCACATAATCACTAATCAATATAACAAGAAAACAGTAGGATAAATGTTTGCCAAATTAGCCATATACAAAGGTTTCCAGATTTTGAGTCATATTTTACATGTCCAGGACAAGAAATACTATTAAATTTCAAGCATTAGGTTTATACTGATACACAGACTAATTTATAGATATATAAGCGATAACAAATTAAACTTTTAGTTATGTAATCGAGGGAGTGATTTTTAAATTCATTATTGCAAACTATGGACATATTCGGCGCCGGGCTGATTAACTGGAATTTAAATTTCCCGCTGGGGATTCAGGTGGTAGCTCTGCTTTAAAAAATGTCAATTTGCCACATTTATTTATTTATTTCCTGACATTATGTCATTCGTTTTGACATTTTAGTTTTGTATTACGAGTTTTTGCTTTAAATGAATCGTGTTGGGATACTTTAAGCTTAAAATTTTTTACTAGCAGACCTTTCAGTCGAACATTGTTCTTTTTAGAACCTCTTTTAGTCCGAAGCGTACAAAATAGTTTAATAGCCATTGCAAAAAACTCATCGCAACCTTATTAGAATATTTTGAACGGGAAAGTGCTGATAAGGAGGTGACTTTTGTTAATGTAAATAATAACTGTTTATACATATATTTATAATTAGTTTATTTTTGTTTCTTAAAATATTTTAATTAAAAAAAAAAATTTGTAACAATGGGCAACGCTGTGCCGGTTAAGCTTAACCACGCGGCTAAAAGTTTATTTGGCATGATCTATAAGTTAGTTTGTGGTTTATAGAATAGCCCTGATTAGGTTACTGACTGTCTATGCTATTTATTTTTAACCTTAAGTATAGTCGACATAAGGTCGAAAATAAACTGGATAAAGGTGTACTGGTTGCACCATGGTGACACTAATCGAACTAACTGAGGATCTGGGACTGGGAAAACGAAGTACTGACATCCACATACAGCACTGCTAGATCGACATACTCCTGCTTATATTACATCATATTTACACCACTCAAACTCTGGATCTACCCTACAGTTCATGTACAAATAAAAACAAGGTGTGGATTTACAACCAGTTGGGTCCCAAACAATTTTCTAGAATATTTACAGCGTCATACCGTTCCATTTCGGTGAATATCTGTGTTAGTTCCGTTAAGGCGTTACTGGTCCTGTTTCTAGATTCCCACAGATCCAGAATACAGTCCGTAGGAGACGGTTTTGTAGCGAAAAAGTTGATGTACCTGTCAACGTTCAGAGCGTTGGCCAGCATTCTCCAGTCATTGCCACGTTGAGTTGGAGTATCCAGACAATGGCAAAGTTGCTTTCTAATTTGTTTGCTTAATCTAAAAGTAAAATCGTCACATGTAGACACACCTCGGTCAGTAACAATGAGGTTTTTGGCTATTTTAGTTCCACCATCGTCAAACGTAAGGGTTTTGGCACTTTTGTAGTCCGACGATTTTTTCGAATCGTTTGAGCGACTGGTTTCACTATGAATCGAGATTTTTGGCACTAATTCGTTGCTGTATTTCGCAGAAGAGGACGTTTTTAAATCCGAAGCATCATCTCTGCAGGTTATATCAAAAGTCTGCTGGTAATCGAACCCTTTCTGGTTAACCCTGAGCTTGAAGTTCAAGTTCCGACTCACCTCGTACGATTCCAGCGTGAAGCTACAGTGCAAGCTGTTGCTGTTCGCTTGCCAGACGTGAGCAAACGGGATTTCCTGGTAGCTAGAGCCGGGTTTAGCTTGCCAACCCTCGCTGACTGAGTCTAGGTTTAAGCACAAAGCGTTGCCGCCATCTTGGAAGGTTATTGAACGCGGTTCGACGAGTAGGTAACCTCCAAGGCGTTTTTCTTGGCCGAATACTGTCTCCATGGAGCTTTCGGTGTCCTCCAAGATGTAGACTCTGACGCAGTAGTCTACGGTCGTTTGGAAACAGAGTTTGGGTGCGAACACTGCCAGTTTCAGTCTTTTGGTAGCATTCCCGTTGGTCGACCTACCCACTATAACAAACCTGGATAAGCATTCTGTAACTAGATAGGCTGAGTCGTTGTCAAGCTGACAGAAAACGTTAGTGTTTATAGTTTCTTGTCCCAAAGTTACAGCGTTTTGCCACTGTGAATCGCTGCAATCGCTTTGAAGAACCGAAATGGACCAGTTATTTCTCGAAAGTTCAGCACAATGAGGTACTTTTAAGACAACTGCTTTGTTCAAAGATACGTTAGGTCCGCAGGAAACTACGGGGCTAAGTTGAGTCAGGTGTTCAGCTAGTTTAGGCCTGAAACAGTCTTCGTTGAGGATTGACAGGAAGATTTCCTGCTTTCTGCTTCTGGATACGGAACCTTCGGGAACCAGGAGGTTGACGCCTGATTCAGAAAGGTTCAGGAAGGCTCCGGTGTGGGTGACTGTGGCGCTGGTGTAGTTTCCGCTGGTGGTGGGGGTTACTGCATAAGCTGCTGGTAGTGCGGAGAGGGGCAGGGTGACTTGCTCGGTGGCTACGTCGTATGTGGAATCAGCTGAAAAAGTAACAAAAATGTGAATACAATATTTAGATATACAGAAAAGCTACTTACAATTGTTGGTACAGCCACTCATCTGACTGCGCTTGCCGCTAGATGACTCGAGCGTGGAGCTGGTCGCCGGCGACATCTGTATGTCGGACGCGGAGGCCAGATGCGGCACGTCATAGTGGTGTTCCGAGACGGAGCGGGTGACGGAGGTGGCCGGGGTGGTGTACGGGTACTCGTAGCAGGCGGCCACCGTTTGCGTCAGGTCCGGCTGCAAGCTCAGCGACTTCTTGTCCTGTTCGGGAAAAAATTCTGGATGGTAGTCTGGAAAATACGGGTCGGCGTTGTTGGTTTTGGTTTGCGATAATGGTTAATAGTAAAATGGGGACTGTGGGAGTACAACAACCGTAAATAATAAGTTGGGAAAAGACTACACATATATAATTTGGTTCGTGGTAATTAGTTTAGGAGAAAATAAAATTCATGTGATTTAAAGGCGGTGCGAGGGTCGGACAGAACATGTGGCATCATAAAAGACTAAAAAGAGTATTTTTAAGATAGATAGTAAGATTTAGATTTTTAGAATATTTTTGTTGTTGGCAGAGACTTGTTGTGTGATGTCTCTGCGTTATTGTATTCTCAAGTTAAAGTTGTAAAAATTAATGTATTTACTTGTTCGGTTTAAATATACATTTTTGTAATCCAACGAGTATCGAGTGTCTTGATTTAGTTCCAAAAAATATACCCGAACATACCAGAGGGTACTTTCATGTCACTAAACCGAATTTTAAAGGTTATTAAATAGAAGCAATCTTACATTGAAACCGCACTTTTCACGTTATTTTTACAGGCAAAATAATGCAACAAACGTAGCAGCATCTCTTGAGTGAAAAGAGATGTATACATCTGGTTGTTTTCTCTGATATGAATCTACGAAATTGTGATGTACTGTTTTTTTACAATTTTACTAGAATCACCAAAAATGACAGATGGCGTAGTTGTAAAATTGGGAACCTGTCGTTAATTGGATCACTGACTATAGCAATGTGTTGAATGGGATGGTTATACGCACCAGTTTGATTATGTGTGTGTAAAAAAACAAGCAATAAGCAATATGCTTTGGGTAAATGTAATTTATCATTGCACTTGGCAAATCACAAACCTTAAAAAAATAAAAAAAAACTCTTTCTGTATTTAGAAAAGATAAATCTTGGAAATGTAATTAATTTATTTTCACGCCTGCTGGAAACTTCATTACCGATCCCTCTATAGATAAAAATATTAAAATTTCTTGCTGGACAGACAGAAACACACACACTCGAAAGCAGCCGTTACAAATTTGCGTACACAGGGTGGTGGCGCACTTTAATTACGATCTCTATCTAGATCCACGTAAACGTCAACTTGGAGACTATTCATGTCGATTTTATGTAAAGTACAATGTAGCGATTAAATCATTTTACATGGTTCCTTGATTATTTATCGTCGAAATTATTCCGACGTAACAGCTGTAGAATGCTAATTTCGGGTCGTAAACTAGACTCAATATTATTTCGCTTGGGATAATATCGTAGTAGTACGAGCACGGTTTACATACTGAACAACTGCCGAAAAAGATAATTTAGAAGATATAAATTATATATTTGGCTAAAGTTACATGTAAAAGATATACGGAGCGATCAATGATTGAAATGATTGGTAAAGTGATTGGTGCTGATGCTAAACTATATCAATTCATTGACGACGTTATTTTAGATATACTATATGTTCTTGAAAATTTACAAGTTTTGGCTTTGATATACAGGGTGTCCCAGGCTGAGCGCGCATTAGAAGTTTCTAGAGTATTACAATATCTAGATAAGGGATTTTTTGCACATTATTGTTTTACAACGAGATCTGTCGATTAAAAATATTTTCAATATGACGGCACTTCCGGAAATACCGGAAGTTGACAACAACTTTCTTATTTTAAATGGATGCCCCCATTTTTTAATACATTCTTAAGTTCTCTGTAAAATTTTATGAATTTTGATATCAAACACTCTATACCTAACATTAACCGTTTTTGAGAAAAAAAAATATTTAAAATTTTAGGACGAGAACAACTGCCTGTCAAAAATATGTGTATAGTCTAAATGTCAAATTTAATGATTACCACAGCCACTGTGTCATAAAGAGAAGACATGTGGCTATCGATTTTAGAAATTAAATTGTTCGAATGTCATATAATAATGGTCGCAGCTGTTATGGAATTGATTGATTAAAAAATAATCATAAATCATTTTTTTCAAACGGAAACCCACTTTTTTATTTCACTACTGAAAAGCCTTTGCAATTCGTTACTTTTTGATTCTACACGTTCCTATATACCGTATGATCGAAAAAAAATGGCGTCCAGTTGGCTTGGAAATGACGATCGATGACATTTCCAATATAATTTTACATATAAAATGACAGCGATCTTCATTCCATAGACGTCGTTTTTATTCGATCATACGGTACCTAAAATAAATCTTTTTTTAAGTTATTTAAAGCGTATATTTTTATTGATTTTAACGAGTAGGCCTATGACTATAAACGCCAAGTGAAAAAACAATAGATCTGGCCATGTCATATTGTGACACTTTGTTCAAAAAGCAATATGTTATCGATCCATGCCTACTTTGCACTGTTTTTTTTATAATACCTGGCACCCTTGACCTGGGACACCCTATATAGCGGAGAAATCTTATTGCGTAGACTGTAGACAAATGATCAGGGAGGACTGGGTTAAAAAAATAATTCTAAAATTAAAAAAAAATCGTCCAATTTAATACTCACCACTGGCGGCCATGTTGTACAAACTCTGGTGCTGTCCCTTCTTCCTGTACAGTCGTATAACGAAAAAGGACAGCAGGCAGACCATAAATATGGCAACGGTGAGACCGATGTATAGCAATATGTCATTTTGAGTGTTTTGAATGTTGGCTGAAACAAAAAAAAAACAAGGGGCTGTTAAAAACACAGGAAAAAAGAATAGGTGTGTAATAAAGCTTAATACGACAGCAATTTTCAGAGGGGTGAAAGATAAATATGTTTATTTATTCTATTTCATGTGCTGTCAAGTTAATGCTAGTTCAACTGCAACTGTAGACTTACAAATGATGATTATTTAAATATAATTAATTAAAAACTAGTACTGTATATGTTATAAATCCGGCAAATCAAAAAATATGTAGTACCAAATAAAAAATAACAGACAGGTTAACAGTGAAGAGTTAACTGTTAACTGTTAATCTTGTGACACCAATCGAAAGTTATCATAAACGAATAACAGGTTATAGTTGTTACTGGTTATACCTGTGAATAAATTCACAAGTATAATAACTTTATTTCGACTCTATTGTAAAATGTAAACTAAACGAAACGATTTTGAAGCTCTGTGTCAACAAACAAATATAATTCCTCTAGGTCTACTTATTTCTTTAAAGTTGGAACTTTTTAACTATCTACAGAAACTGAGACTAATTTAAGCCTTCACTAAATACTCCAGAGAGGGCCATAGATTTTTACACTTAAATTACCATTTAATGCCTTATATATTAGGGACCATTTGTGGTCATAAAAAGCCGTTAAAAAAACGACATTAACAAGAAAGAATGGGAGAACAAAAAAAAAAGAAAAAAATTCCCTCCGATATGTGGCGTGAAAAGAGGAAATGGAAAAATTTAACTCCACGTAATAAATAGGGGGCGTTTTAAAAATTCTGCCCCGTAAATTTAGGGGATTTGAAAGAATTAGGGCCTTAAAAAATGGATAACATTAGTAACACAAGTATTTATATCTTGTTTTGCATATTCTTGTTTTAGTTATGATTATGGAAGGGATGGGAAAAGCTTAGCGAGCGAGGTTTTGTATCATTTAAGGGCTTAATCGAGCATTTTGAGGGATCAGAGTATTTTTCTTTGCAAAAATGCTTTTATATTTTTTTGTTGTTATACAGGGTGTCCCAGAAATAAGTGCAAGTAATTTAAGGGGTGGTAGATCTCGATAAAAGAAACATATGTTTTCTCTTTATCGTTTTTCAAATAAGTCCAAAATAACGGAGATTTTTTACTTTGAAAATTTCCAAAAAAAACAAAAAATGATTTTTTGCTCAAATTTTGAGAACCACTCAATCTTTTCTGGATTTTCTTTGTTGTACATTTAGTCTACTAGCTATGTTGCCATATTATCAAGAAATTATGTTTTTTAACTAAAAACTAAAATAAATTTCAAAAAAATTTTGTTTTGAGTTGAAATTAAAGGTTAGAATGATGCTTTAACTCATTCTTAGTTAAAAAAGCACACTTCTTTAATTAAGTAGGAATTTCTTTCTCTAGCATTTCTCTCTCCTGTCAAAAACGCTGAAAGATACGATCTGAGTCACACCTGGCTCCTCTGTTTATAAAGCACAACAAAAGACAAACTAATTACATATATAACGGTCTCGAAAAGGGACTCTCCAAGTCGTGTCACGTAGTTTGCCTCCTCATCTGTATTCGCCGCCAGGGACAATTTCCCAGAGTTAAGAGTGCCGCCGTTTTTCTCGCCCCTGGAGGAAATACGGCATCTTTTCAGGACAGGGAAATCTTTTACGCACGCACGCCGGCGAACTTATCGATGAAAAGCGCACACGTGTTGATCGTTCCGCGGATTTAGCTTGATTTTTCCGCTTTCCCAAGTGTCGTCGAAGCTTGTTAGCGTTCCAAGATCAAAGAGAAATGTGGGAGGAACTTCCTAGAATTGTGACGTTATTATAATATTACTATTTTCGAGAATATACAGGCTGCAATAAGACATTTCTAAATATGTCTTAAGTCAAATTCAACATAAACTTCAAATGATTTATGTTTTAAATCTGCGACTTAAAACATAAAATGTGTTTTGATCACTATGTATATATCCATGGCATAAGCTAAGAGCTGGAGGATTTTAAGGTACTCTTCAATATATTCGAGATAAATTTCTTTCGTTCGTCTTCTGGGCTACATAAAAGAGTCGGGGATTCACTTGAAAGACAACAGACTCTCTACGACTCTCTACGACAACAGACAACAGACTCTCTACAACTCACTACGCACGCGTAACACGACAAATGTTCAAAACCGGTTCCGAAAAACTAACGTTTGATTTGCTAGCGGTATTATTGAGCATTGTTTTTTATTCTGCTGCTTAGCTGCCGCCTAATAGTTCTTAATGACTAAGGTTGTAGGACTTAAGTCATTAAAATGGTTTAAATCAAAAAAAGATTTAAAGAAAAAAAATTTGGCAGCATATTCTGCAGATAAAAATAACTAAAAAAGTTCGTATAAATTTATGTCAATTTTTGATGAAAATATTTGGATGAAAATTGGTGTGTGGGAGTTTTTTAACAAGAGAAAAAATGCCTTCATATGACTGGATAAAAAAAACTACAATAATTATTGTGCATACAAAATAATATTTTCGTGTTTAAATTATTCTTACAATTTTCTTTATATTATTAGAGGAACAAAACAAAAAACAAAAACGGAATAAAAAGTATAGACAAGACAATAGTGAAGCCTTTATTTTCCTTTTCCGAACATGATTTGCGAGATCTCTTGGAGAACACAATGGACGCATTGAGCGCACCGCCAATTTATAAGCTCAAAGTGAAGTTACTTTGAAGGAGGTCATTGTTAGCGATACAAACGACTTAAATTGATCTTTGCAGAAATACATATTCGTTATTTGCATTATTGTAAAGGTAACAATATTTTATATATTTTCAAGAAATATTTTCGACAAATAAATGTGAACTGAAAAATTGTAAAGGGAATAGTATTTTGTGAAATAAAATGTACGTCCTGTTAATTGGGGATATGATAAAAATGCGATGCAAAAATATGATATACAGGGTGTCTCAGAAATAAGTGCAAGTATGGTTGGTATAGTTCCACCACAGAAACACATAACACGCCCATGAGGCTTTTTTGTGAAAAAAATGTTCTATTTTTCTTGACAGTTTCCGGAAAATGTTGAAAAACTTTTGAGTGCCACTGTTCATTCTCCTCAAATTTGATTACGGCGCATGTAGATAATGCAATGTTGCCAGCGCTTATGTTACTCATATTCTGCATGTTTATAAGTTCACAGTAATTTAAACTACCTACATAGAATGATATGTATAAGAAAGGTATATTTTAAGTTAAATTACATTTCTTTATACCGTATGATCGAAAAAAAAACGCAAAGACTGATGTAAATGACAATCGATGATAATTTTAGCGAGGTCAATATCTAGGACTGTGATATGGTCAATATCCAGACAAAATTGACATAAAACATATCGCAAATAAACTATCGTCGCAAACTAACTATCGTAAGATTAAAAAATATAGATAGAACGTTTCCAGGCACACAAATCTTTTTCCAAAAAATTGTTTCTTTTTCTCGAGTTTTAAATTACACCATTTAAAAATCATTTTTACTCAATATACAGTACAATATACAATCAACAAATTACAATCTTCTTAAAACCAACTGACAGTAAGCACCACTAAAAAATAAAGAGAGACAGGTTAAGTAAATGACGTTTAGGGCTTGGCATCGCCAAAATTATCATCGATTGTTATTCTCCAGCCGCCTTTAACAACGTTTTTTTCAATCGTATGTTTTCTCACCCCTATAACTTTTTTATTTTTTCAAATAAAAAACGAGATTTGGTATGTTAGTATATGACATAAGTTAGGATTGTTTGACGTATTCAATTCTTTTCGGCCACTTCCTGTTTCACCGGAAATGTCTACAACTTTTGATTTTCAAATGGCCTCCTCGGTATTTTTTTACTTTATTCGATAAAAAATATCACTCTAAATAGAATGACATATCATATGTCAACTTTTGACATTTTCGCTTAAAATTAAATGGTATATTCCAATTTAGAGTGCCATGGCTATGTTAAAAACGCTAATTTTTTAATCAAGGAGCCTTGGAAAAACAGATTTGACCATTTAATGTTCTTCACATCTTGTCCTGGCCGGTTAAAAGATGCCCGAATTGTTTTTTTTAATCATATCTCAATTATTTTAAATGGAACAAGGGTGGTTCATTAGCATATTTGGAAAAAGCATTTTTTTACGAATAATTTGGTACCACACACTGGGTATTTCGAGTCAAATTGTCGTTATGAACCGGATGTTAAAATCATTTCAAATCAACCACATGCGAAAGTGTCAAAAGTTGACATATGTCATTCTATTTAGAGTGTCATCTTCTATCGAATAAAGTAAAAAATAGCGAGGGTGTCATTTAAAAATCAAAAGTTGTAGTTATTTCCGGTGAAACAGGAAGTGACAAAAAGCAATTGATTACGTCAATCAATCTTAATTTATGACATTAACATACCGAATCTGTTTTTTTTTATCGGAAAAAATAAAAAAGTTATATAGGTGAGCTACTTTTGAGACGCACCCGATATTTTAAAAAATATATGTAGTATTTCAATAATTGACAACATAAGGTTTTCGTAAAGCAAAAATACCGCATGGCGTCTTCTCCACGTAAATAGAAGAATGAAAATTTTTAGGATATAAACGGTTATTTTACTTGAACTGTCATTATGTCATTTGTCAAAATAATGCCTACCTTATTACCGCCATATCGTTTCCAATATGAAACAAACACACGCTATGAATTTGATGAAAACCTAATTTAGTATTTTTCTTTTATTTATTTTTTTATATCTAACAATGGCAAAAAGAACAGAACAAACCGAAATGTTAATTCCTCGTAGCGATACACAGTCCAAAACAATGAAACGTTGCTAAATCAGTGGAAAAACACGAAGAACGGAGGAAATTCGTGCAGAGCCGCGGGCTACCTCTCCCTAGGGAAATGACTGGCGGAAGAAAATTTCTGGTAACATTTGCCATTTCCACTTGGCGTACAGGTTGCTGTGTTTATTCGGGAAAATCCAATAACTA